CTGTATGCAGTGCTGCAAGCCAAATGCTACACCACTAGAGGCAGGACATCAAGTAAATTGAGACAATCCTAGCTGCTCACGTGTGTATCAGGTGGCCTATCAATCATTGATTAGGTCTCTAATGTATCTGTTTTGTGAGGAAATATGAAGTGATTCATGGGAAAACGAGAGGTAAAAAAATAAAATCCTTTGTTCGCGACCAGTTTTTTCGCGACGCGTACTTAAATTTAAACAAGACCAATGGAGATAATTTTATTAAAGAAAGATAGAAAGTTACATAAATCCTCTTTAAAATTTAATTTCTCGCTTTAGAATATTCCGACCCAATTCGCAAATTTTTTCATTTTGGCCAAAGACAAAAAACCGCATTTTTTTGCAAATATCATTAAAACTAAAACTTAATGTACCAAATCATTTTCAATAAGCCTAGAGCTAACAAAATGCAATCGAAAAGCAAAAAAAAGACTTGGAAAGTTTTTTTCTTTCAATCTTTTTTGTGCATTAAAGTCGTGCGAATGGACGTTCGCTACCCGCGAAAATGCCCATATCTATGTAAGGGCGAGTCCACCAGCGTGCACCAGAATCCGAATTTACAAAGAATCCTTAGAATCTTTCACCAAGAAACTATGCGTCTAAAAGTAATTTATAGCCTCCGCTGAGAAGCATGACGATTTTAGGTTGCGTTATTTTATGGAATTTAAGGTATTAAACAAATTTTCCGATCATGTTGGATGCAATTTTGATGCATTTTTTGGTAAATGTTCAATATATGTTCAAGTGTGAAATACACTTGTACCAGTGTGATATCACATGAGTCTGGAAATAACATTTGGTTGCTCTAGCTCTTATAGACTCTGAGATCTAGGGGCTCATCAAGAAGGACGGACGGACCGACAGACGGACATACGGAAATACGTACGGACAGACGGACATGGCTATATCGACTCGGCTATTGATGCTGATCAAGAATATATATACTTTATGGGTCGGAAACGTTTCCTTCGCTGCGTTGTACACATCCACTTTTACCACAAATACAATATACCCCTTAACTCTTTTTTGAGTACGGGTATAAAAAATTGGCTAAATCAAGCCGCAAAGGAGCACGGCATCCTCTTAAAGTACCGTAGGGAAAAGACCATCCCTCCCTACCAACGCCAAAGAAACTCGGTCCAATGAAGACGGGGATGGTCCTGTGCAATGAATACCCGAACTTCAAGTCGTCTGCAAAGGGTATAGAACAGAGTCTTTGGGCCACCTCATTCATGCCGGCTCTCCATCCAAAACCAAAAAGTGCGCAGCCAAGGCCCCGAGTAAGCGGCAACGCTCAGCTGAGGATCCCGCTACCCAGCCAGGCCAAGCACAGCAAGCCAGGCGGGCGAGAATGCACCCTGCAAATAGATCGTTGGCGAGGGGCATAACCCTAATTGGCGTCCTTGACACAGGCGGGACAAATGGCATCTGGTTGATCCAGAGCTCCAGGACAGATTTCTACCCAGGGGCCAAACTGGAGGCCGTTAAATGGTAAGACATCCCTAGCAGACCGAAGGCCCGAGCGTGAGTCTCCGTGAAACCTGTAGAGCCGGAGAAGATTCTCTAGGTCTTGCAGGTCTGCAACCCCCACTTTCCTACAACCGAGTGAAAGGTCGCCAAGGGGGAAGAGATCCCGTGACAGAGGCTGCAGATCCTCCTCGTCCTTAATAAGGGGTACCTTGAGCTCCTGGAGAGAACGGCCAGAGTAGTGGACTATTACTACAGAAAGGTTACCATAGCTCCCTACAAATCCGACTCCAAAGGCAGGCAAGCGAAGTTAGAGCCAGACCTGTAGCTGCCAGAGGTCCCGAAGACGGAAAGCCTCATCGCAGTGTCAGACGTGGTGTATGTGGTGGCAGATGATATCGTGGACGGCTACGTGTATGATGAGAGCGACCTAGCCAGGGGTCTCAATCTGATCGATATAGGGAAGGAGCTGGAGTCTCCTGAGAGTGACGCCGACAAGGCAATGGTGTAGGTGAGTCTCAGGAATGTCCTTGACACTGCCCCCCCCCCCCCGCATTCTTGAAAGAGAGAGAGAAGCCCCCGGCCCGGGCCCCGCCCCGCAAACCCCACAAACCCCCCCCCCCCCCCCCCCACGCCGCGGACAACTGGACCGAACCAGAGTAACCCTTAAAACACAGGCCGCGGACCGAAAACTAGAATATTCCTCAAAGCATGAACCTCCACCATTGTAAGGCAGCATGCTCTTCCCGTTCCAGCATTCTTGCAAAGAACACACGGCATCATCCCAGCCTAGCTGATCCACGCCGGAAAGCAATTTCTTAAATTGGCTCAATCGGATTTACGAGGGATTTTTCTTCCCGGATACATGGCTTCAGACCGAAGTCGTTTTGATACCCAACACAGGCAAGACCTCGCACACTGCCCCCAGAAATTTCTTTTGAAGACAATGAAAAGACTTTTAAGGCTGCATCTGAGGGCGAACATATCGCCTAATTAAAATTTTTATTCTCAGCATGCATATCGGAAGGAAAGAACTCTAGAACTCTTCACTAGGAAGTACAAGATTCCGATACTGACCCCACATAACTCTGCGGGAAAACGCTAGTTTTTAGCAACAACGCCAACTATCATGGCCGGATCGTCGACAGGAAGCTCGATTGGAAACTGAGCATAGAGGATAAGGTAAAGAAGGCCACAATAACCATCTACACTTGCAGAAAAACCATCGGAATTCAATGGGGAACGAGCAGAGCTATGCATAACGGGCGGAATACGCACTACCCCAGGCGAAAACCGAATCGTTATAGTGTGTTCCAAGCTGAGGATGTAGAAAAAAATTAGGTTATCTCTATCGTCTCCAAACTGTTTCCAAACAGAAACTCAGTGTGCGTCATTTCACTCAGCCAAGCAGCTCTCAAAGCACTTGGCTTAATATCGTCAAACTCAACTACTGTTAACGACTGCCGCAGATCTCTAAATGAGACCGCTGAGCAGTTAGGTCTCTCCCTAATATGGGCCCCGGACACAGGGATATCGACGGGAATGATGCTGCCAACGAACTAGCCTAGCAGGGCAATACCACACATGTCCAATCGGAGAGAAGGCAAGTATCGATACCTTTGGCTACGTGTAGCTTTCTAGCACACGAAATTTTCGAGCAAATTGGCGACAGGCGATGGCAGCTAACCATCACCTGCAAAATTTCCAGATCGATCAGGCCAAGTCGATCGAAGAAACGCTTGGAAGAGGTGTACAGACTCAGCAGAGTACAGTGCTCCACCGGCACCCGAGCCATCACGGGACACTGGCAGATTGGAACAGTCGCTGCCAGGCGTCAATCCCTCACAACGACTTCAGTAAAAGCTGTAGGGACGAGGAAGAGGAGTCGGTCCCCCACTTCTTCTTCTTTTTTCTCAACAAGTTGCTCACCACGGTTTAGGCAATAAGAAGGGGTTCACGCCAATGGGGCATCACAACGGTCCTATAGTAGGACCAAGTGAGCTGGGGGAAGTTTACTCTCTCCAGCTGCCGCCTTAACCTCAACTTGCAACTTCCAACATTCCTGCAAATCACCTATCTCAGGTCCAACTCTGCACGCATCAACTCACAAAAAGGTATTAAAGTTTACCTATTTTATCATTAAAGGCTTTCAAGCTAACTTGCAGACGGATGTTATTAAACCAATTTCAGTAAAGCATTCGACTCTGTAAACAACTCGCTTCTAGAACAAAAACTTGACCTTTTAGGGTTTCCGCCCAATCTTTTCAGATGGATTTCTAGCTACCTTCATTCTAGTTCTCAAAAAGTCCACTTCTAAAACACCTCTTCACATATTAAGGTTACTTCTGGAGTACCACAGGGCAGCCATCTAGGCGCCTTACTTTTCACACTCTTTATTAATGACCTGCCTTCAGTATTAATAAACTCTCGAGACTGATGTATGCGGATGATGTTAAACTCTGTGTCCAGTATAGGGACATTTCATTTCACTCTCGTTTGCAATCCCATGTCAATACCTTTCAGTTACACCTTATGTTACACCTTAATGCCTCTAAATGCAACGTAATGACATTTCATCACTCCAGCCCATTGTTGTCTCCGTACACCCTCTGCGGTAGTTCTCTTGATAGAATTACCTTGGTTGATGATCTTGGTGTTAAACTAGGGGGTCTAGTTAAAGTTTTCTAAATACATTTCTACCATGGTAAATAAGGCCATGGGCGTGCTTGGGTTTATAAAGAGGTGGTCATAGGAATTTGATGACTCCTATATAACGAAGACTCTCTATATCTCGCTTGTTCGTCCGATTTTAGAGTACGGCTCTTGTGCATGGTGCCCACAGTACATAGTACACGAGGACCGTATAGCATCAGTCCAGAAAAACTTTTTACTTTTTGCCCTGCGTGGCCTTAACTGGGAGGTGCAGGTGTGCGACTGCCATCTTACCCTCGTAGATTGCTCTTAATAAACCTCCCAACCTTAGTTAGTCATAGAAAAATGCGTGGTGTGATTTTTATGTACAACCTGATCAAAGGTGACGTAGATAACCCTGACTTGTTGAGCCGCACAAACTTCTCGATTCTTATTATATCCACTAGAAACTTATTCATTTGTTCTTTCCACGTTGTAGATCAAATTGCATGAACCGTTTAGGGTCTTAAGCAGGGATTATTATATCTACTACTTATTCCCTTCATCTTCTTAAATCACTAATACTAACATACCTTTCCCGTAATTAGTACTATTTCTTAGCTATCTTTGCATGTTTAGCTCTTTTCGTTGTGTTTACTTCTAATTTTTCTCGAATATAAGTCTAAGTCTTTCCTGCATGTTCGCGACCGGTTCGGTTAAATCAGTCACGCGTCTTGCGGTAGCGGTACAGACATATATACTTTATGGGGTCGGAGATTCTTACCGCTTTGGACTTCTGTCAAATTTTAAAATACAATGATCAATTAAAGATATATTTGCAAAGAAAAAATCGACAGTCTATGAAATAATTCGTATCTTATTCATTTAATAGTACATCTTTTATATTTTGTTGTGCTCTAATTTTTCAAGCCAGATTCATTTGATATAATATTTTTTTTGTTTGAAGTGTTTAAGTATGGGCGATTAACCCATTCCGTGTCAGCAGCCTTTATATTTTCCAGTGTTCCAAGTTTAATTTGATATAACTTGAGAACAAATCTTGGACCTATTTCGCTGAGACTTAATTCTCTATTTATGTTTTTATACTGATGATGTCTAAATATAATGGAATCATTATGGTTTAAGAAGGATATTATTCGTTGGGATTTTTCTTTCGGTACGGGAAACAAGTGCTTTAGTATTTGAACAATTCTTAATCCAACAGGACTTTGGAAATTATTAAAGATCAAATGGGGCTTCTGCTCACTCATATGTCCTATATCTGGAATATCATGACGCATTATAACATCAGATATATTAAAAAATGAGGTTGGACCATATGGAAGATGACAAACCACTAGACTATCTGGTATGCCTCGATGCTCATGTACAATCATAAAATCAGTTACATTATTTGCTCGACAAGCGTGCATAAGCGTAGTCAACTGATATTTTCCCCTGTTCATTTGTTGAGCATTTGGAAAAATCAGACGAAGTTCTTTCATAAACATTTTTAGTCTCGATGAGGGGTTATGTGATGTCGTTAACATTATTTTTGGATCCTGACAACCAGCGTGATCGTATTCATCATTTGAAGAGCGGATTTCAATTCCTGAAAAGCCAAAATATATTTTTAATCAGATACTTAAATTCATTCCCAACAATAATACAGTACAGTATAATATTAAATGGTTATTATTTATTTCATGGTTTAGTGTATTTAATGTATGTAAAAATTTTTTGAAAATGAATATATTTATACCCGTACTCAAAAAAGAGTTAAGGGGTATATTAGATTTGTGGTAAAAGTGGATGTGTGTAACGCAGAGAAGGAAAATTTTCCGACCCCATAAAGTATATATATTCTTGATCAGCATCAATAGCCGAGTCGATATAGCCATGTCTGTCTGTCCGTCCGTCCGTCCGTCTTGTTGAGCGCCTGGATCTCAGAGACTATAAGAGTTAGGGTAACCAAATTTGGTTTCCACACTCATGTGATATCACACTGCTACAAGTGTATTTCAAAATTTCGCCCCGCCTCCTTCCGCCCCCACAAAGGACGAAAATCTGTGGCAGGCACAATTTTAAAGATACGATAAAACTAAAAGAGCAGTATCGTAGAGAATGCCCATATCTACCAGATTGCCAAATCTGAATCAGATCGGATCATAATTATAGCCAGAATGAAGAAATTAATTTTCTGTTGCTTTCCCTGCCCCCCCTCCAGCCAACGACAACTCAACTCATTTTCCATCTCGCTCGCACACTCTGCCGCGTTGAGTGCGCGAGCAACCCCTAGCGGAGGAGATGTAGAATCTAATTGGAACATGTACAATCTACATGTTAGATGTAGAATATATATTGTATATGTAGATGTAGATAGCATATGTAGCAAAAAAATGTAAAATGTAAAATTTTTTTTTTTTCTAAAATTCTTAAAAATCATAAGCTCAAAAATGTATATAGTGACTGAGTACGGGTATAAGTAGAGTCGCGTCCCCAGAAGCGACTCACACGTTCCTTCTCGTTTTTTATTGTAAAACACGAAAAATGTCAACATTTTTTAGTTTTTAGTGCGAGACAGCGTCACTGTTATCGATGTAGAAGCCAAAAAACTCAAAATTGCAAAAAAGGGTAGAAAATAGGTAGGTATATAGGTATAGGTAGAAAAGAAAACAATTTCGGGAATACAAAAACCTACTTTTTTTTAAATTCAATTCAAAGCGGAAAAACAACCCAAAAACTAGATGGTTTGGAAAATACTTTTTTCTCTATAACTGTCTATGAAACGGACCAGTTTTTTAATGAATATTGATAAAAAAAAAAAGAATACACCTAGTAAAAGATACTAAAAACCAAATGATACCTCACACAGTTTACTTTTTATTCTACTTGAAAGATGCAGTGTGTCAATAAAAGTTTAATAAAAGTTAATACGTTTTTAAGCACGGAAATAATGTACCACTTTTATGCTCAAATCTCCTAAAGCCTAGTAGTCAGATCGAAAAACTGTTTGCTAGCAAACAGATGTCATATATTTTTCGAGCGACCAGTGGTGTGACCAGAGGTGTGCACTGCATTCCGAACGGTTCCGAACTGCTCAGACCGCTGCTGGGTTTTGTTTAAAGTTAACAAAATGCACTTCTTCGGCTGGGGCAGCTCTTCCCCAGGCAATCCTGGGCTCCACAATATTTTATTGGCAAGGTAATGTGTCTGACTATCAGCAGCAGAAGATGGCGACGCCACCCGTGCCGACCACCGTGAAGACAAACTGTTTTGAAAGCAATATTTGTTTTATATTTATGAAAATTAATAAAAATATTATATTATAATATCCATATAATTGCCCTTTATATAATGCTGCATTAATTAGATTCTATTTGTCTTCATTATTAAAATATTTATTTGGTTTTTAGTTCTCTTATTGCAATGTTTGCTTCGTGTTTGCTGGCAAAAGATATCAAATTGATATCTTTTTCGAGGTTGGTCGAAACATACCAAAAAAACAAGCAAATACTTCTGATACTTTTCCAGTATATACCGACCTTTTTGTTTTTCTATCCCTTCCGTACAGGCCAGCCTAGAAAACAGTTTTTGCCGTAAAAAATTTCTTATCGGTTTCATACGAATATCAACCCTGATTCTGTTTGCCAGGGTGTTTTGTTTCGAGGCTTAAACGTAAAGTCCGATTTTTTTATTTATTTAATTTTTTTTTTTGGTTTTGCACATTGTATCACCCTTGAAGGTTCTTGCTAAAATTGTCCTTGATATCATTGGCATTTTGAAAGGCTGTTGTAATTTATCTAATTTTAACAGATTTTAAAATAATTTTCTTCTTACGCTCAGTGAGCTTCAGTGACCTACCAGATCGGGGCTTGGACTCACAGGAACCGGATGAATTAAAGTTTTCAAGTACTTTTTGAACCTAGCTCTACCAATTGTGCCTCCGATTTCCCAAATCGTTTTCCCTTTATCACCAAAGGGAAAATGTCAAGATCCATTTTTTTAAGTTTTTTCCCCATTATAAATTTAAACTGTGATCACACGATAAATGTGGACAAAAATTATCAGCAGTAAGTGATCAATGTCACAGCGTAATTACGGTTTTTGCGTGTGCATTCATTTGTACGCATACTTTCTCTGATCGACGAATCAAACGAATTAATTAAGTAAGTTGGAGTGTTTAATCAAAGCAAGGCATAAAAAATATACTATTATTCATAAAAAATTTAAATTTCTAATTGTTTTTTAACGATACATGCAAAAAATGTTTGTACGCATAGTTATTCTGGTAAGTGTATATGTATGTATGTAGGTCAGAAATTACCATCTCTGGAATGCAACATTCTTATAAACAAGTATTACAGCCTGCGAACATATCCTAACTAAAGTAATGTACAATGTATGTACGTACATACATACCTTTATCATTGTATTTTAGAGAGCTATATACATCTATGCCTTTTGTGACAATCGGTGAATTAATCGTTTTGTTTTGGTCTAAACTTTGAACGATACTATCCTGAACCTTTTGTTTTGATTTGAGACGTTCGCTTAGTGCCTTAGAATATAAATATTCCCTTCTTTGCCTGGCTTGTTTTCGTAACATATTTATTTACTAAATTCAACCACGTGTGTAACTCGGTGAGCCGTTATCAGTGTGACCAAATATTGAGAGGGAAGGAAAGACCAACGTAATATATTTAAATTTTTCTCGAGCTGATAATACCATATTTTCTAATGGTTTATGCCCTCTGCACACTGATCCCATACCGGGAGAATGGTAAGAATTTTTGAAAGATGTGAAACACCGATTCAAATTCACTCCATCCACCATCCATGAGAAAACAGCTGATGCTCACAATTTGCGTGCGGTGAAAAATTTGTTCACATCTATAATTTAAATGAATATAAATAACATTGCAATGGTTGTGAATGTGATTCAGCAGCAAAACATATTCTTGCACAAGCTAATCATGTTGCTGGACATGGATGATGATAATGCGGCTAACATTGACGAGGAGAATTTATTGGAGTGGATATCTGTTTTGAAAACAACTGAAGCGTGGTCATTTCAGACTGCTTCTACTAAATCCAATCAATGTTTTAAATACAAATAAATATTCTATGTTTTCTGAGAAGTGATTTGGGACATTTTGGGAGAAAAATGTACCCGAAAATAACGAGGCGTTTTCTATAGATCTAGCATTGTATACTTTGGGCTCTTTTTCTGAGTACAGAGGAGTCGGAAAAAGCGAGTGTAATAACCTGCATGAGTTTTGCAGAGCATTCATAAAAAAATTCCCAGAGGATTCCCGAGTTGTGTGCCTGAGACAATTCTGACATATCAGATGTTATTTTGTTTTTTTTTTTATATTTTCCCGTCTGTCATTGTTTACATTTTCGTAGTGAATTTCGATTTTTTTTTGTGAATGTCAAATATTTATGGTTGTATTTGACAATTCTCGAAAAAATACCGCACAGAAACGTGCGAATTGGGAACATCCCAGATGGATGGTGGAATAACTGGGAAATTTTCGGAACGGCAAAACCTTACGGACCATCCCAGAAATGTATAAATTTATATGATCTATAATAAGAATTCCGGAGTTCAAAAGTAGGTTTTTAAAAAGATTTTTTATTTAACCGAACTTATATTTTAGAACATAGGATATGATAATGAATTCCCCAACTCAATGTTAGAAAGTCTCAAACGGAACTCTCTTCTTGTTCTCGAGTTATTGATCTCAAGACCTCTGTTGGGAAGCTTAAAGCTTATCTCCTTAAGCTTTTGGCTTCGTCTTCGTAATTGAGTGATGATGGCTTCGGCTGAGAGAGCCGAAGCTTCGGTTGCGAGAGGCGTTGCTTTGGTGAGAGCGGCTGATAAGCGATGCGTTGGCCTATGTGTGGGAGGCTTGGGAGATGCGTCGGCTTGGATGAAACAGACAGCCGCAGCTGGTGATTGGTGTCAGCTTTCATCTTGAGAACTCACTTGTTTACAAGAGTTCTCCCTTCTATTGGAGTGTGGGACTGATTCTGAATTATTCATAGTGTGGAGTGTGGGAACGAGCTGATAACGTATTGGTCAGCGACGTTCTATTGCATTCCAGAGTTTTGGGTTGCATGGGACTTCCTGTTGATTTCGGTATGGACGAATCATGCGTTGTTTATTCAGGTGTTGGGGTATCTTCTTATATGTTTATCTTATTTCATATAGATGCGAATATATGGGTGTAAGGGTGAGTGCTAGGCATATGCATAACGTGTATAGGTGTGGGTGTGGTTATGAATATGTCAAGTGCTTAACGTATACTTAATGCGTATGTGGGTGTAGGGAATAAGATAAGGGAATACGATAAGAATTTTCGCCTAGCAAAATGTGTTCGTTAGCTGCAGTACGGCAGTCCTCACAAAAAAATTTAAAAGATTAATATTGATACCGAGAAAAGCATCAGATTGTATTTAACGTTTTTCACATTCACTTTGTGTTTTACTTTACAGCAAAAAGTCATACTCTTCATGCGCTCTGGATTCCGCGAAAGTCGATTTATATACTCTCTGTACTGTTAAACACAAAATTTACTGCTGTTATACCCACGAGTTAAAGCTAGCTCTTACAAAAAGGCGTCTGTTATATATAACAAAGATTTATTGATAACCAAACCAGGCTGCCACAGCTGCCTGAATGAAGACAAATAAATTAAATTTAAGGACGTCAAATGAAGGAAAATTTATATGTATACATTATTAAAATTATTAACTTACATGAATATAAAAAACTTTTGATTGTTGCTCCTCCGCCACAACATGGACTGTCTTTCCCATTTAGTAAAAGCTCATTCTTTTTGTTTTTTGTTTGTCTATTAAGGTACTCTCGTCCCTGTCCATGACCATACTCTTCAAAACATATTATATTCATGGTGGTCGCCAGCACGGGAAGCATCGCCATCTGCTGCAGCTGCTTATAGCTGCTTATAATAACACTAGGGGCAAGCCCCCGCGCACTCGGTTCACTGAAGTACCAGCCCCCAGACTCACTGACCTGGGGATACATTTTTCGCAATCAAAATTTGCTTTTATGTCAAATTACATTTACATTTGTTTGCTGCCAAAACAGTTCTTTCTGTCAGCCATGCATGATTTTGGTATTGTGTTTGTACATCTGGGAACACGCGATAAATGAGCGAATTAAGACAAGGCTACGTTAAGGCGGTAGCTGGAGAGAGAAAACCTGCCCCCAGCTCACTTGGTCCTTCTCATGGCATAGCACAATCCCATCTGGGCAGTGATAGAAGAAGTGGGTGACTGACTTCTCCCCTTCCTCGTCCCTGCAGCTTCTACAGAAGTCATTGTTAGGGGTTGACAGCCTGGCAGCGACTGTGCCAATGTGCCAGTGTCCCGTGATGGCTCGGGTGCCGGTGGAGCACTGTACTTTGCTGAGTGTGTAGAGCTCTTCCGAGCTTCTTCGATCGACTTGGCCTGATCGATCTGGAAATTTTGCAGGTGATGGTTAGCTGCCATCGCCTGTCGCCAATTTTTTCGAAAATTTCGTGCGTTAGAAGGCTTCACTTAGCCAAAGGTATCGACTTGCCACTTGTCCTAACGGAGAGATGTTGTAGTGCCCTGCTTGGCTAGTTCGTCGGCAGCATCATTCCCGTGGATGTCCCTGTGTCCGGGACCCATATTAGGGAGAGACCTAACTGCTCAGCGGTCTCATTTAGAGACCTGCGGCAGTCGTTAACAGTAGTTGAGTTTGACGATATTAAGCCAAGTGCTTTGAGAGCTGCTTGGCTGACTGAAATGACGCACACTGAGTTTCTGTCTGGGGACAGTTTGGAGACGATAGAGATAACCTAATTTTTTTCTACATTCTCAGCTTGGAACACACTATAACGCACGGAGGTCTAACTTTAAGCGAACAGTGTTTGCAAGCGCATTTTCAGGTCCATGTTCGCCCCTCTCCCAGTCCTCCCTTAGTGGGATTGATACCAGGAAAGGTTTCGAAAGTTGGTCACTCGGTATACAGTAATCTTTCCCCTCTTGTAGTTGCGGGAGTCTCTTCAAGATTCCCGAGTGGCCAAACGCGGATGTTTTGTAAGGTTTGGATTCTCTCATTCTGAGAGCGGAAAGTGTTGTTAAGAGAATTTTGCGAATCAACAATTGCAAATTTTATACTGCCAGTATTTGCATTGATAGCAACTTCTCCATCGCCCATCACTACTATTAATTTGTAGAAAAAAATCTGTGTATAAGCGGCTATTTCCGCAACGCGTGCACCAAATTGCATGCTGTCTTTGTAAATGATAGCCGGAGAATGTGCAATGATTGCACAAATAAATTTCTACTTTTCTATAAATAGGTTCCTCAAGAATTAAAAATTAATCAAAAAAAATCTTAAATTTGGTCCAAAAGTGTATGTTTGAACGCATATTTCATTTAATTCCTCCGCAACGCGTGCAACAAATTAAATATGTTTTTTTAAAATGTTATCCAGAGTATGTAGCATTGTTTGTATACAAAAGTTTATATGAACAATTTTGTTTTGAAAAAATTGCAATTTTTGTATGTATATATGTTGCCTTTGGTTATCATTGTTTAGTTTCGATGAATTCCTAAACATGAAATGCATTTTTAAGGAAAGATTTGTTTAATCATATCAAATTGTATACCTTGGGCTCATTTTCTGAGTGCAGAATTGTCGGAAAGCTGTCAGCTTAAAGCGTGTGCAATATACTGCATGAGTTTTGCAGAGCATTCATAAAAGAGTTCCCAGAGGATAGTCCACAAACCGAGTTTTTGTGCCTGAGACAATTCTGACATATCAGATGTTTTTTTGTTGTTTTTATAATTTTCCTGTCTGTCATTGCTGTTTGTCGGATCGTGTCACGTCATCAGTCGAATGTAACGTCAATATGCGACAAAAACAGCTGTTTGCTATCGATACCCCAGCGATAACCGTCGATACCCTAATAATTGCATTATTTTGTAAAAATACTAGAGACAATACGGCAACACTCTCCAATGATATGCCGCATGGTTTAAGATGCTCCACATCATAGTCTTCTTCTATCCACAGGGATCTTATGGGCATCATTGTCGCATATTCCACATAACGGAAAAATCCAATGATGTTAAAAGGCTATTACTGATTTCATACGAATATTAACCCTGATTTTCTTTGCGATCTAAGTACTATGCTCTATTAGAAGCAGTTTTTACTACAGCAGTGACATTTCGCACGATATTTTATTTTCTGCCTCTTCTTCTTAATTTTTTTTAAATAGCACCCCTCTCCTCTTTATTCTTCCTGTAACTCTCAGAGGAGAGTTGGCCACCTCTGTCTAATACGGCGGCTCAAACCGAAGAGAGCCGAACGGTAGAACTCCCAGCTGAAGCTGAGATCGAGTCGAACCTGGGAGCTTTCACTTCAAATTTTGAAGTGAACATCGGAAACAATCGATGTTCGGCTATTTTATAACCACCGCTTATATCGATGGCGCTATCGATTTTTTGCAAGCCATATTTTGCATCACTATTACACTGCATATTATAAACAAAAACCTTAAATTTATAATTTTATACATTTTTAATGTGGAAGTTCTATATTTGTAGTATACTGAATAGAAGTCGTGTGAATTCGTATATGTACATGTATATCTTATAACAATTCTCAACATGGTAAATAAATATGTATGCAAAAACCTTTCGCAATGAAATTATATACATATTTTACTGAGTAGTGCATCATTATTAATGCTGATTGAATACTAAATTGTTTAGTATTTCAGCTCCACCTACATATGTGTTTCTTGTGCCTAATTGGAATAGGGATACTAATTTATTTCGTTCATCAGCGGCCTTCATGTGATTATAAAGGAATGTTATTGAGTCGTAACAAAGTGTACGTATAAAAACTCTTGCATTAAAATTTAATTTTATATTCACATTTATATGGCTCAGACACTTAGATACATAAGCGGACCAATAAAATCCTGATATTTGTAAGCTAGCTTCGAAGCGGCGGGCTGTTTATAATCATATAATTAACCAAAATCGTATAGGATACATTTTTAAATCATAGAAAGGTTCGATATTCATTAATTAACTAGTCGTTTTCATATGGTGTGGGGAAAAGTGTCAACAAAACTAAAAAGTAAAATATGCCAAATAACGAAACCAATATCGCTTTGCGCTAAAAAATGTCAAGTTGTCGCGCTATTAGTTCCTTTTGGCTATTAAGAGTTTTTAATAGCCGTTGAAACTCAGTTATTATTAAGAAAAAGTCTAGCGTTTCAATGGTTAATGTTGTACAATTTATTTCGTATTGGTAAGGGATATAATAAAGTGATGCGATGGATACGAAGATTCCCTCTCAACTAACTACAAGGGCAGATGGGCCGACTTGCCAGCGCCCTATACAGCAAGTCTTGATAGAAAGCGAAAGCGAGAGATGAAAGGAGAGCAGCTCGGGGCAGATGCTAAGCCGAGCACGAACGTCATATAGAACGCGAGAGAGACCAGCTTAGATGCTGCAACTGAAACAACAAAGCGAAGAAGGCGAGATAGATATGAAAGAGCCGCCACTGCCGTGCATAGACATAGGCTAATTAACAGTGATTTGTACAGTGGACATTGCAAATAATAAACAATGAATTCTAAAGAATTTACGACTAAATAACGGGCTGGGAAACCCGACAAGTACCACAGTTGGACTGAGTCATAAAGAGTTCTAAAAGCGTGGTACGATACTCCTCAAAGCAAGATCGAATTCTAAAGCTACCAACGTGGAAGATTGCTAAGAAATTCCTTTTTTAAGCTTTATTATCAATATTATAACATGATGTTGATTTTTTTCAATATGTTTTCTTTTTAGGTAAAAGATTATCTAAGAAAAGTTGGAATTACGGAATGGACTTTCACGGAAATAGTATTGATCTTAATCGGGAGTCAAGAAGTTTTTTTAACAAAGCAGAGACACAAAACTGTAGCTTATCTAGAAAAAATAATGAAAAAAGTGTATAATCAGAAAAAAAAATGCATGACTGCGAAATTAAAACAAGTTATGCAGAACAAACGGCGTCCAATAAAAAAAATATTTTAAATTAAATCCTTAATTATTTAATATGGCTCATGCTTCAACACAAGGTTCACAAAGCTCGAATTGACTACGTACAAACAAAGATTCAGTTATTCGCTCTTCGTGGCTTGAGCTGGAAGCAAATGTTCGGCTATCCCCTTACGTAATAGGCTTTTTCTCCTAAAGAATTAAAAGTATTTCTCTAGTTACTTAAACCATTCTTCTTGTAGTTTTCGTCCACAATCTGCTTAATGAAAATGTCTACTGTGAGGAATGGATTAGCCGTGTTACTTTTACTGTGAAGAATTTTAGCTTTCCAGTTAGTGCCTCTGTTTAGTCAATGCATATGTCCTGCTGAATCGTTTGCTCTAACCATATTAAACTTTATTACCTTAAGTATACGGACAGGTTCTATGTTATAAACAGGCAGATATTAATGGTTTATGGACTTCTTAAATGTGCTTCGAATAGTACATTAGCAAGCCATACAAGTGTTTTTAATCACGTGAACGGTATTTATTGACGTATAAATAATATCCTGCACATATTATCTTTTATTAAACAGGCAATCATCCAGGACACCTCTCTACATCGTAGTAGTCTGCTGTGGTCAACGAGTACAAGAGACACTTGTAATGATCAAATCAGCAATCCTTTTTAACTATGAACAAGAGTATCTCAAATTTTTTATTTTTACGGAGAAAGAAAAGGATGATGAATTAAGAGAAAAGTTAACAGACTGGCAAACTACCATCCTACCATCGTTATTTGCTTTTGAGATTTTACCCTTGAATTTTCCGAGTCAAAATGAGATTGAGTGGATGAATCTGTTCAAGCCCTGTGCCGCCCAGCGTCTATTTTTGCCGGTAAGTCCTAATTCAGTTGCATGACCAATTGTATTTCTATATGTATGGTTCTAAAACATAACAAAATGCCGCTACAGTGCTTTTGCCTTTCTCACGAGACCACCAGTGCAAGTTTTAGGGCTACGCTACGTCATATTTCAATTATGAAATTATTTCGTCTATAATTTAACAACAAATTTAACACTGTTACAGAGGCTTTATATTTCTCTCAAAATTTCGATCAATGTGAAAATAAACTTAACTTGAATGTTGTCTCATACTAAATATTAGTATATGCATTTTTCATTTTCCCTTTTTTAATATAAACTAGCGGACCCGGCGAACTTCGTCTCGCCCAATTTAACACCTTTAGATAAACTTCAGAGTGATAATAGAACATAGATAGTTCCAATTTCAACATGATTATTTAAATGGAATAGAAATCAGCTCTTCATTGAAGAACCTTGTTATATACTACATTTTTTGTTTGTCGCAAGAACAAATAAAGCGGATGATCTGCCGACACGTGAACATGCCACGTACAACTGTCCATGAGAAAAACAGGGATTATCTAAGTTTAGACTACAGACGGTCAACGATGGGCCTTGTGATTAATTAATCGTCATGGCGAAAGCAAGTTGAATCGGGAACTGAATTCGTTTAAACTCAATGGGTATATCCGTTTGGATCTTTTAAACCCTCGGAATAAGGACTAACTCATCTTTAAATTTTCATTTAAGTATCGTCGCGTGAAGCACATTACTCATCAGTTCCATTGCATAGTTTTGGTGGGTTTAGATTTCGAAGCATGATGAGTACCGAGCCCACCTTTACTTGTAAATTGCGCGGTGGTAAACCACGCATATCCAAGGTGTTTAAAAATTCAGTAGGATAATTAGTGTAGCGGATTCCAGCTAATTGTAGTCCACCAACGATTTGATTCTGAAATGTAAAGCTTGAGTCGTTCACATTGCTCGTTTCGTCGACAGGAACACGGTCATTAACCAAAAGTCGGCAATTGCTTGGAGACATCTTCAGCAGATGGGTCGTTCAACAATGCAACTGTCATGTTTGCTGCCAGTTGAAGTTTCTTCACATAGAACCACAGTTTTGATGATTTGAGGCAAGCGTCTTTCTTTTTGATTTATGTAACACACTCCATACAAAATATCAACCAAACGTTTGACAGCCCTAGAAAGGCTTTATACAACAACACTAACGTTTTTCGAGCGCGATTTTCCGTGCGCCATCGCTTTTCCAATGTTTTTAAAAGTTATTTTTCTATTAGGGATGGAGACAAACTCAAAAAATTCAAAGCCATGAAAATCAGTCCAGCCGTTCTAACATCGCGATTTTCCTAGACGCGGTCGCCTTGTCCATAGTCTCACCAACCTGGATGGAGACAAATTCAACAAATCAAATTGTATTAAAATCGGTCCAGCCGTTCTCGAGTTATAACGGACACGACTTTGTTTTATATACGACGACGAATCAATAAGTCCGAGACCTTTTGAATATTTCACCACTTTATTGATATGGCAATCATATTTCTGTCAAAAGGCATCTATGAGCTGATTCCTTTCAATATTTGAAAAAGCTGCGCCAGTTTGTTTGCGTTTTAAAGCCATTGATAGCAAGCTTCCTCGTTCTGTGAAGACAAAATGGAGAAGAGTGAAGTTCGTGCTCGCATTAAGCATTTTTTTTGCGAAAAAAACCACGACTGAAACAAAGAAAAACCTTGATACATACAATGGGATTTCCTCTCTATCGATTTCAAAGGTAATAAAGTGGTTTAGTGTATTTCGTTTTGACCGTACAAGCACAAACGATGACACCCATCCTGAACGCCTAGGTTTGGTCCCACGATATGGTGTTGGCCGATCGGAGATGGAATATGCAAGATATTCTGGAAGCCATAACATCCAGATGGCTAAGTGGTTTCAATTTTGAATGATCACTTGGGTATGAGAAAGCTTTCCGCAAGATGGCTGCCGCGTTTGTTCACAATCGACCACAAACGAACTCAGACAACTTCGAAGGAGTGTTTAAGCACAATCAGGACGAGTTTTTTCGCCGTTTCGTGAACGGGGTTAAACCGTGGATCCACCAGAACACACCAAAAACCAAAGCAGTCAAAACAGTAGGTTCCTCAGGGTGATTCTAAGCAAAAGAAGGCTAAGGTGGGTTTTTCAGCCAATAAAGTCATGGTGAAAGTTTTTTGGAATGATTGCGGTATTAACCACATTGATAACCTTCCGAAATAGTAAAACATACAATGGCGAACATCATGACAACTTATTGGATCGATTTGACAACGACATCATTTGGCCAAGAATAAAAATCTTTTCTACCAGAACAATTCAAGGGCGCAGACATGTGCAGTTTCCATTGCGAAAATCCGTGAATTAGGCTACGAATTGATCCCTCACTCACCCAATTCTCTGCATTTAGTCCTTAGTGAATATTTCTTGTTTTCAAGCCTGAAAAAATGGCTCTGCGGAATAAGATTTGAGTCCAATGATGAAGTCTTTTCCCATCGTATATATAGATTACGGGAATGTAGCAATTGCATTAGTACTCAATATCGTTCCATTGTTTTTTATAAGGGAATTAATACGGGATAGCAAGGAAACACCTAGCGATTTTAGTGCGAATGGATTGTAAGTTGCCTAGAAGTTACAAACTGTCTCCTGTTCTTAACAATTTTGGCAGATAGGATACCTTCAATGGGATTGAGGTTCGAAATTAAGAAGCTTTAGGTCCAGCACCTACACTAAACATATTTTGTGTGCAGGCTCCTGGAATATCGCACGGAATCAGGTTTTTTATCAACGAATGGTCTAGTCTTGGCTCAGAGTTGTTTAGAACAACACATATCTAAATTCTTTTTTAAAATAAAGTCTGCATGAATTGTACAAAGTAACTCTCTGTTTGAATTCCTCAATCCGGAAATACACATTGTAGAAACGCAACAGCTTCGATCTCGAGACAATTCAGAATTACACTGAAGAAGTACAGTACTCTAGAAAAAGAAATGTACACATGTACATACATACATATGGGTTAATCCTGCGTTACGGACGTTACATTCGTACGCAAATTTACTTGTTCAAATTGACACAGCTGGCGTTCACATTGGTATATTTTCATGAAATTTTTACGAAATGCAGTTCTTTGCCCGTTCTTTTAAACTAACTTTAAAATAAAACGTTTACTGTTTTTGAAAAAAAAAATGCTTGCTTAAAGTTCCGTTACGGACGTTACAAAAAATGGAAGTCGACTTTGAGGCCGCATGCATTTGCACATTTTTTAGCGAATTTTGCACAATAAACAAAAAAAGTTCACATACAACAAATTAAGTGAAATATATGACCATATTAATCCAGCAAAGAAAATAAGCATAAGTAGTCCCGTTGAAAAGAAATCGTAATTTTTGTCTGTTACGGACGTTACGTTACGGGTAATTTTCCATCAAGCAAATTGTGTAAATGGAAAATATTTATGTATTTACAAATCCTTTTAACCTTGAAATTATTAATTTATTACATACAAAAAACGTATAAGATATTTCATTACTATTATATTACATGTTTGGGGGGATCTTGGGGGATCACATGTTATTTAAACACACTTTTTTTGTTATTGGTAGGTTAAGTTTTTCGGATTCCCGGCAACCTAGACGAATTTGAAGCCCAGATTCATATTCAGCAGGTGAAAATCCAATTTAAACACGTACTTTCACCTCATAATATTAAAATACAATTTTTGAGTATTCATGCCGTTACGGACGTTACACACTTTGCCATTAGTATTTTTCAAAATAATGTGTAATGAAGGTATTTTTTTTTTCATTAGATTAAAGTGCATAAAAAACTCTGTTTATAAAGCTTGTTTGGAAAACAAAATTGTTCAAATTCATTCTGTTAAAATAAATAAACCCTTTTTTCCGTTACGGACGTTACACACAGTGTGCCCATTTTTAGTTCAAATTTTTTAATATATATTAGATAACTTACAAATATGATTTGTATCTTAAATAATAGAAAATGAAACAAATTTTAAGATTTTTTAAGCGCTAAATACTGTAAAGACTGTTTGCCCACTTTTTTGACCATGGAAAAAATCCTTTTTTTTACAAGAATACTTGAAATCAAGAGGTACGTGTAGGTTAGCCTCAGCCAAGAACAAACAAACCACCGTAAAACCATATTGCTCATATCTTTTGAAGCTTAAATATGTATCTTATTATTCCATTAACAAACATTTGGATTTTGGAAAACTTTAAATTTCTGCCTTTGGTTTAAAAATTTTCGGATTAGCCCATATGCTTAGCTAGAGAAAGATATAGCCAACAGATATATACAACAAAAGTACAAGTCCCTTTCGTTTGTTTTACAGTAAAATTCGATTTTGAGATTTTTCTAAACGATACTTTAAACAAGGCTTAATTATCGCGCCTTTTCGAATAAAATAAAGAAAATAGCAAAAAAAATCATTTTATGTCGCATTTATTTAAACCGAGAAAAAAAATAAACAAACTCATTTTGCTTTTGAAAGCCTAATATTTCCCAACCGGTAAGCTTAAGCATCAAACTTGTAACAGACTTTTGAGAAATAAGTTTGTAAATATTTATGATTTTGATTATAATGATTATGTTAGCGGTATTCCCAAATTCTAATATTTATAAATGCCACTAGATTTGGTGCATTCAAAAAGTTTATTGAAACTTTATTCATGGTGATATCTGAAGAGTGCGTGTACAAGAAGTCGGCAGTTGGTCTAGCTCGTATAGTCTCCGACATTAAGGCGTATCGCAAAATCGACGAGCAAACTAACGGTCAATAGTATCGGCAGCTACGGCCTTTAAAGGTAGACTTCCTCTTTAGTTAATAAACGTGTAGTATATAATTTCAAAACTAACTCACTATTTTAAAATTTACACTAACCTTTTTTCGATAATATACTTTATCATTTTCTAGTCTTTGTTGACCGATGTGGACTCATTGCTATATGTTGACACAGATATATTATTTTTGTCACCAATATCTGACATATGGAACTTTTTTAAAAAGTTTAATGACAGTCAAATTGCCGCGCTGACGCCTGAACACGAGAATGAAAACATAGGTTGGTACAACCGATTTGCACGTCATCCATTCTATGGCCGCCTTGGTGTGAACTCCGGCGTCATGTTAATGAATCTGACACGAATGCGGGAATTTCATTGGGAAAAACATATATTATCTATACACGAAGAGTACAAGCTGCGTATTATATGGGGCGATCAAGACATTATAAATATACTTTTTTATTATTATCCAGACAAACTATTCGTAATGCCCTGTGAATATAACTATCGCCCAGATCACTGTATGTATATGAGTATTTGTAACATGACACACTCTGGTGTTAAATTAATACACGGTAATCGGGGATATTTTCATGCCGACAGGCAACCACTTTTCAAAATTATTTACGAATCCATGGAAAGTTATCAGCTTGGATCAAATGCAAATACCAATTTTTTATTGCCTCTACGCACGGCTTTAAATCGAAAATTAGTAAATGAATCTAGCTGCGGAAAGATCTCAACAGAAGTGCTGAAAATGGCTACTAAACTTTTTGGTAATATCTATTAAGGGATAAAGCACAGATTATCCGTGGGTCGATAAAAAATGAATCTAGAATTATAAAACAAATTGTATACAACTAATATACTTAAGACCTAGAGTTAAATATATTCCTAATTAAAAATAAATAAATAAAATAAATAAATAAATAATAAATAAAAATAAAATAAATAAATTTGAATAAAAACAGCACGAAGCTAAGAAACCTGAAGTTTGAAATTGTTTAACTTATCATTCATGTTATTTTTAGGAAATGGTTTAGAATGGTTGTATGTGGTGCCACTTGATGCTATTGAACTTTATAGTTATTTTTTTTCGACATGAAGTTGGATGAGCTCTTCCCGTACTGCCTTCTCCGCAGCTATGAGTCTGGAAGTTTTTCTACCCAGTCGGTGCTTACACGCCGCACGAACTGCAACATGATTTTTGGGGATTGTACGAGTAGTGTAGCAAGCCGAGAGGGTCGAAAAACGACATGATGACTTGGATAACTTTCCTCTTGGTTGGGACAGCGGAGTTTACAAGCTAGCTTTTAAGCAGTCGATGTACAGAAGAATTGTCACAATGCTCTGTACAAACGTGGCCATTGAGCCATGAAAACATGGCTATTTCGACTCTGACGCTGTAGCGGGAATTCTTGGAGTGCGGCAGCGACGCAAGTGTTCCGATATAAATTATAACTATTTTTATACCCGCACTCAAAAAAGAGTTAAGGGGTATATTGTATTTGTGGTAAAAGTGGATGTGTGCAGCGCAGAGAAGGAAACGTTTCCGACCATAAACTATGTATATTCTTGATCAGCATCAATAGCCGAGTCGATATAGCCATTTCTGTCTGTCTGTCTGTCTCGATGAGCGCCTAGATCACTCATGTGATATCACACTGCTACAAAAGTATTTCAAAATTTCGCTTACGCCTCCACAAAGGACGAAAATCTGTGGCAGGCACAATTTTAAAGATACGGTAAAAATGAACAAAAAATACTTTTTGGAAGGTTGCGAGCCCAACTGCCCATTGGGAACAAAGGAACGCGATCAGGTACCAAATGTACAACCCTTGCTCGTTTGCTTTGTTCCCAATTGGCAGTTTGGCCTTCAACCTTCCAAAAAGTATTTTTTGTTCATTTTTTCCATATTTTAGGTTTGGTTACCGAATTTTAGCTCCAAAGTCTCTCCATAGATTTTAATAAGCGATACCTTAAACGACGCCAAATTAACGCACCTATAGTGATATCGTAAAAAGTCAGACAAATAACACGTTGTTTGCATTTGTGGCAAAAGATACACATTTTACGAAAGGTAAACACACAACGCATCATGGTTAAGATCATTGGTACGATTAACTATACTGAAAAAATATGTAAACTATTTCCCACAAAAACATAGATCTAGGCAAAACTAATGTGTACGCAATTGAGCAAGACCTCTGAATTTATTTTCATTTAAATCCATATGCATATAAAGGAATATGCGCCGGAGAAAAAGCTATGAAATTCGTGGATGTTGCATCAAAATCAATTTGAATTTCAATTTGTACTTCAATTATACGTCAACTGGCCGTCAGCCGTTCGGGTGATACAGGGGGACTAACGGATGAAGGAATGTCTCACCATAACTGTACCCTCGGACTAGGGGTATGGGTGTTTCGGGTCAGGGCTTGCCCTGATCCGATGCGGTCTTGCTCCTGGTTTCTAGGATGCGGGGGGATCACGAGCGACCCGTCACCCGCCGTAACTGTACACACCGGTGGAAGTGCGACTATACTCTCCTCGTGGGGGCGGCTCTATACAGGTCCTGGTACGGTCAAGTCTCTGCCACGGATGCTGGCTAATTGTAGTCGGGCGGAGAAAAGAAAACTCTCGTAGTGAAATTACCCCAATCCACCGTGAAACAGGATATGCTAATGGATGCGTGGCCGAGGGGGATCTCGGTGCTGTATATGCGAACTCTGCCGACCTCCAGTTTAAATTAGGCTTCCCGGGGCAACCGCGCTATGCCTCGGGTGACCATTCCCTTCCCGCCTTCTCGTGAGACCAAACATGTTAATTTCAAATATTAAGCCAAGTAACCTAAAGGAGATCGGTACTCCTCCTAAATTACCGGAGGGAAAAACCAATCCCTCTACATCAACGCCTGGGAAACCGGGTTCTAAGAAGACGAGGAAGGAGACTCAGTCGGTGCGCCGTCTTCTAGCAGCTACCGATGCTAGGAGGGCTCCGATAAGCCAATCGGGCCCATTCACGTCGGGGGGCACCGGGGGCAAACAAGTTATCGGGGTGTCTGCCAAGCAGAACGTAATTGCGGCTGGAAAGCGCCCTGTGACCGGGGAACCCCCGTCAACCTTGGAGGTACTGCACCACAGGGGAAGAAGCCGTCCTACTAAGACAGAAGGCGCGCTGCTTTCATCCTGTCAAACGACGACCCGGATTTCAAGTCGTCGGAAAAGGGGTTGGAGCAGATGCTATGGGCCATCTCGATAATCCGGATCCGAATCCCGGGTTTCCAGCCAGCCAAAGCCGGAAAGGGTGCAGCCAGGGCTCCGACCAAGCGACAACGCTCAGAGGAGGATCCCGCTATACAGCCAGGCTAAGCCCAGCAAGCTAAGCGTTCGCAAAACCAACCCGGCGAACAGATATTTTGCTGCGGTCGGTAATGTCCCTCGGGACAAATGGAGCGTGGGGCTCGGTGAAGCCTGCAGAGCCGCAGAAGATCCTGAAGGTTCTGCAGGTCTGCAACCCCCCGTCCTACAGCCGATTGGAAGGTGGCCAAGGTGGATGAGGTTACTAGACAGGGGCCCCAGATAATCCTCGTCCTCAATGAGGTGTCTCTCGTACTCCTGAAAAAGTCGGATGATGTAGTTTACTATGGCTACCGGAAGGTGACCATAGCCCCCTACAAATCCGACTCTAAGGGCAGGCAAGCAGAGATCCAGCCAGATCTCGAGCTGCCAGAGGTCCCGAAAGCGGAAAGCCAAACCGCGGCGTCGGACGTAGCGTCTGAAATGTCGGACGACATCTTGGACCGCTACGAGTCCGATGCAAGCGACCTAGCCAGGGGTATTGGACGCGTCGATGTCGAAGAGGACACGGAGTCCACCGAGAGCGATGCCTACGACACAATGGTGGAGTCGAGTCTCAGGAATGTCCCTGACACTCCTACAGATAAACCTCCACCATTGTAAGGCAGTATGCGCTGCCCTACTGCTCCACCTAGCCAAGGGTGGAGCCGACTTAGTCCTCATTCAAGAGCCCTGGATCCTCGGAAACAGGGTATCCGGTCTGAGGACTCAAGACTATAAGCTATATGTAGCTGAAACCACAGGTAAAACCCGTACCTGAATTCTTGCAAAAAGAGAGTTAAACTTATTTTTGCTCCCAAATTTCAGCAATGAAGATCGCACAGCGGTGAGTCTCCAAGGCCAGGGGACCTCACTAAGGATGTGCTCTACATATATGGGTCACGACCAATCACATTGTGGGATGCGATGCCAACATACGGGGAAGCGCTAGTTTTTAGCAATAATGCCAAGTATCTTGTGCTGATCCTCGATAGAAAGCTCGATTGGAAACTGAGCACAGAGGATATGGTAAAGAAGGCCACTGTGGCCCTCTATACCTGCAGAAAAATCATCGGACTTAAATGGGGAATGACACCGTATATAGTCCGGTGGCTATATACCGCAATCATACGACCAATCCTAATGTACGGAGTGGTTGTATGGTGGCCAGCACTGGACAGGAAAGCAAACTCAGCCGGACTACGCACAACCCCAAGCGAAGCCCTCGATACCATGTTGTACTTTCTTCCTGTAGAACTCATGGGGAAAAAGGTGGCAACTCTTTCCGCTCTCAGAATGAGAGAATCCACGTTTGGACTCTCGGGAATCTTGACGAGACTCTCGCAACTATCGGAGGGGACAGATTACTGCATGCCGAGTGATCACCTCTCGATGGCCTTCCAGGTATCAATCCCACTAAGGGATGACTTAGAGAGGGGCGAACCTGGTGACCTGCAAAGGCGATCCACATATATACTGATGGCTCAAAGTTAGACGGCTGTGTGGGTGCAGACGGCAGTTCTCAGAGCACTTGGCTCAATATCGTCGAACTCTACGACTGTTAACATATGCCGCAGGTCTCTTAATGAGACCGCAGAGCATTTATATCTCTCCCTAATATGGGTCCCCGGACACAGGGAGATCCACGGGAATGATGCTGCCGACGAACTAGCCAGGCAAGGTACTACCACACCTCTCCTACCGGAGAAGAAGCAAGTAGCGATGCCTTTGGCTACGTGTAGGTTACTAACGCACGAAGCTTACGAGCTACTTGTCGACAGATGATGGCAGCAAACCATCACCTGTAAAACTTTCAGGTCGATCTGGCCAAGTCGATCGAAAAAACGCTCGGAAGAGCTCTACAGACTTAGCAGAGTACAGTGCTCCACCGTCATCCGGGCCATCACGGGACACTGGTAGATCGGCACACACGCTGCCAGACTGTCAATCCCTTATAACGACTTTTGTAGAAGTTGTAGGGACGAGGAAAAGGAGGAATCGGTTCCCCACTTCTTCTTTCACTCCCCGGCCCTGAGAAACCGTAGTCTACGGCTTCCTGGGTCTCCTTTTCTCACCGACATTTCGGACCTGTCCGAAATCAGACCAGGGATCTTATCCAAATATACCCAATCCACCGGATGGGACTGTTCTTAATCTTACAATAATATTGCTCACCCCGGCTTAGGGGAGAAAGGGTACAAGCCAATGCGGCATCACAACGGTCCTGCAACAGGACCAAGTGGGTTTTCTCTGTCTCCAACTAGCTCCGCTTTAACCTAACCTAACCTAGATCTGGGAAGCCTCCTTGGTTTACCAAAGAGTTATCCAGTCTAAAATCAAGACTTAATAAAAATTTCAAGAATTTCTTCTTCTCTCGCTGGCTATGTAACAGCTCGTTCACATTTTTCCGTTCTTAACGCTCAAAGCTAAAAAAATTACCTTTCTCGATGCAGGAAACGATTTTCACAAGACCCCAAACAGTTTTACAGCTTCGCTCAATATGTCAGTAAGTGTTTAGAGTGAGGACGGCGCTGGCCGGGCAACAGCTCTGTGGGCATTCCAGCCACACCACTGTTAGC